TCTCAGAAAACCCGAGCGGCAAACCCCTACCTCCACACGTGCCCAGCTTCCCCCCCTGTCAACATCGACCCCCAGAGTGGGACCTTTGTTACGGGGGATGAACCCGACTTTGACACATGGCTATTGCCCAAAGTCCATGGCTGACACTGGGGTTTACTCTTGATGTTGTACGTTCTGTGGGTTTTGAGAAAAGTGTCCATCACTACAGGAGGGTACAGAGTATTTTCATTGTCCTGAAATCCTCTGTGCTCTGCCCTCCCTTCAACTCTGGCAACCGCTGATCTTTGTACGGTCTCTATAATTTTGCCTTTTCCAGAATGTCGTACAGTTGGGCTCATGCAGTGTGTTGCCTTTTCAGATTCCTTTATTGTGGGAAAATATATATAACATGATATATACCATTCTAAGCAGTCTTTTTTTTTTTTAAAGATTTTATTTATCCATTTATTTGACAGAGAGAGACAGCGAGAGAGGGAACACAAGCAGGGGAAGTGGGCGAGGGAGAAGCAGGCTTCCCGCGGAGCAGGGAATCCGAAGCGGACTCGATCCCAGGACCCTGGGACCATGACCCGAGCCGAAGGCAGACGCTCAACGACTGCCAGGTGCCCCCCATTCTAAGCATTCTTAAGTAGACATCTAGTACATTCCCACTGCTGTGCAGCCATTACCATTGTCCGTTTCTAGAACTTTTCCATCACCTCAGCCGGAAACTCTGAATCCATTACACAGTAACTTCCCATTTCTCCCTCCCTGGTAAGCTCTATTCTGCTTTCTGTCTCCATGAATTTGCCTTAGTCTAGGCACCTCGGATAAGTGGAATCACATAATATTTGCCTGTTAGTGGCTGGCGTGTTCATTTAGCATGATGTCCTCAAGGTTCATTCCGGTTGTAGCTGCTGTCAGAATTCCCTTCCTTTTGAAGGCTGAGTAGGAGTCCATTGTATGGATTTGCCACTTTTGTTTATTCATCTGTTGATGGATGCCAGTGTCATTTTCACGTCTCTTCCAGTGCCGGCTTTCACTTCATATGGCTGCAGGTCCAGGAATGGAATTTCTGGATCAAATGGCAATTCTGTGTTTAATTTTTTTTTTGAGAAAATGCCACCCTGTTTCCCACATTCCCACCAGCCCCGCAGGAGGGCTCCAGGGGCTCCGATTTCCCCACATCCCTGCATAATAATAACTACCCTTGTGGGTATGGAGTGTATTACTTTTGTTCTTAAGACGTGTGTGTGTGTGTGTGTGTGTGTGTGTGTGTGTGTGTGTTTTAAAGATTTTATTTATTTATTTTGTTTGGGTGGGGGAGAGGGAGAGAGAGAATCTCAAGCAGATTCTGTGCTCAATGCACAGCCCCATGCGGGACTTGATCTCACGACCCTGAGATCATGACCTGAGCTGAAACCAAGAGTCTTAACCAACTGAGCCACCCAGGTGCCCCTAATGCAGTGTGTTTTAGTTGTGCTTATGTAACTTAATTTCTAACAATGGCTGTGTTTAACAGCAGGTTCAAAAAATGCCTAAACATTTCACAGTCCGCTTCCGAGAGTTGGTGCGAGCCCGATGCAGCACACCACTGGCTGCAGCCCCCCCACCAGAAGTACAAATTTCTGGGCCCCCAGAGATCTGAGAACACTCGGGCATCCGTTCTTTACCAAACAGTAAAGTAAATGCTGGAGATTTTGTGTGAATATGCATTCTGGTACTAGGGGCAGAGAACAGACTTTTTTTTTTTTTCTTTTTTAAGTACTTTTTCTGCTAGGAGGTGAACATATTTGTGTTGGGTGAGCATTTTCCAGCAAGAGGGAGTCAAGGTGTCCGGAATGTTAGAGGAAAGAAGACGTGGTGCCTGTCCACCCTGGAGTCCTTGGAGCCAGGGAAGAGCAGAGCCTCCCCCATGCTGTGCTGGCCTCTGCTGATTTCCAGGGGCTGTGTGTCCTGTGACTCTGCTTTTTGTCCTGCTCTGTTGGGATCTAGTGACTTCTCGGCTTCTTTCTGTGCTGGGCTCCAGAGAACAAATAATTTCCAGAGAGGTGCAGCATTGTCTCTGGTAGAGACGTCCCTTATGGAGAGGAGTTTGACTGGGAGGACTCTTGACCGAATCAGAGCCCACTCCCTGACATCCTATGGTCTCAGTAGCAGATGTGTTTTGGTGCCTCGACAGTTTCAGATCGTGGGCACCAGGACGGCAGGTGGGGGAGCCTTTCAGACCACCCTACAGAAAGCAGATGTGAGCATCCACAAGCATGTGCCTGGCCACGTTTTGGTTGCCTTCCGGTCATTGTGGGAGAAGGAGAAAGAGAACACTGTGTGTGCACGCTCTGCCACTTTGCAGTTCTGGTCCCAGTTTGCCTCCAGCTGCCTGGAGAGCCTGTTCCCAATGCTGGGGTGTGTGGCCACGGCTGACATCAGCACTCCAATAACATTTTTGCTTGGCATGTTTATTTTTGTTAAGTGTTTTATTATTTTTTATGAGCTCAGAATTGCAGAAATCTAAGGAATTTGCCCCTTGACTGAGTTTCTTGCTGGAGCAAACAAAAGACTATTGACTTGACACCAAGTTGGGGAGAAATCACAGTGTGACCCTCTCTCTGTTGGCGACCCCCTTGGAATGTTAGCGACTGTGGGTTGCCACTGCTGGTGACGTGCTCCAGACTCAGTCTCTGGTCCTCTGGGTCTCACACTCATTTTCCTTGCAAAGCCAAAAGCCTTAATTTAATTTTTGCCGATTTCAGCCATATAACTAATATTTAAGGACAGATCATATCACATGATAAGGGGATCCAGCTCCAGTGTGCCGTGGCCACTGGGTCTGCCCCCTCCCCTGTCTCCACCTGCCCAGTTAATCTCCACACACCTCTTCTGCCCACTGAGGTGGCCACTGGGCTGTCCCATGTCTGGATAGAAGGAGCACAGGGGCGCCTGGGTGGCCCAGTCGGTTAAGGTCATGATCTTAGGGTCCTGGGCTCGAGCCCCATGTCGGGCTCCCTGTTCAGTGGGGAGTCTGCTTCTCCCTCTCCCTCTGCTTCTCCCCCTGCTTGTGTGCATGCGTGCTCTCTCTTTTCAATAAATTAATAAAATATTTTTTTTGTTTCTTTTTTTAAATGTTTTTTTTTAAGATTTTATTTATTTGAGAGAGAGAGAATGAGAGATAGAGAGCACGAGAGGGAAGAGGGTCAGAGGGAGAAGCAGACTCCCTGCTGAGCAAGGAACCTGATGTGGGACTCGATCCCGGGACTCCAGGATCATGACCTGAGCCGAAGGCAGTCGCTCAACCAACTGAGCCACCCAGGCGCCCCTGTTTCTTTTTTTTTTTAAAGATTTTATTTATCTGACAGAGACAGCAAGAGAGGGAACACAAGCAAGGCGAGTGGGAGAGGGGGAAACAGGCTTCCTGTGGAGCAGGTAGCCGGATTCGAGGCTCCATCCCAGGACCCTGGGATCATGACCTGAGCCGAAGGCAGACACTTAACGACTGAGCCACCCAGGCACCCCAATACAATCTTTTTTAAGAGGGCACATTTGCCAGTTGATTTCTCTTTACTTTTTCCCCACAGATCCAAATCTAGAATAAATGATACATATATGTCATTAGGCTCCCTCACTTTCCCCACGTGGAAACAAAGTCCTTCTTGTTTTATGATTCTGAAAGGAACTTAGAGGGCCCTGAGCTCATAGAGTTTTAGAGACTCTCAGGTCATTTAGCCTGGCGCTCTGCCCCCACGTCCCCCAGCACACACACGGCCCGGACAGGACCCAGGAGCCCCCACAGCTGAGGCTGGGCCGATGGCCTCCCTCTTGTCACAAGGGCTCCTTGGCTCACATTCCTGCAGGCAGCGCACATCCCTTCCATTTTTGGAGGGACAGAGATTGTAAATTGAGAAGTACCTTGGGTTTAGCTGGAATTCCTAACGGGAGGGTGATGGCCCACATTCCCTCTCGTTTGTAGGGTTTCCAAGCAGCCAGGAGCAAAGGGGCCGAGGCAGGCAGTTCAAAGGCTAAGGTGGGGCCTGCGTGGGCTCTGAGAGCCGGCCTTCTGCAGCCCCGGGTGCCTTACAGAGGAGGGCAGAGCCTGATCCCCTTCCTCTGGGGACGGGGAGCACCTCTGAAGGGAGGACCTCACTTCCCCGGGCTGCTCTGTGGAAGGACCGTCTCAGTTCAAAATACCTTAACCCGTGTTCAGTCCATGTCGTCCAGTATGTCCCAACTGTGGGTTCAGAAAATATCCCCAGTAGAAGCGAGGCACAGCTGAGAGACATTTGCTGGCACAGGGCGACGGCTGGGGGCTTGGAGTTGGTAGCCAAGAAGAGGCGATTTTCCCCGTCATCGTTCAGGCCAGTGAGCACAACGTAGCAGAGCGGCGGTCAGATGCCTGGTTACCATTGGAAGGGCTCTTCCCATCGCGTTCTGGCGCGATGTTAGAGCTCTTGCTCTAAGTGGGCACTAGCATTAAATGGCTGTTCTTCAGTGACTTCACCAGCAGCACCTTTCAGATCTCTGGGGGGCTCGCGGAGCCGGGGGGGCTCCACTGCCTTGGCATTGGCTGGAGGATTATCACCTGACATTCTCTTCGTTCCTTCACTTAACCGTCACCACAGCCCTGCAAGGGAAGTACGATTCTCCTCTTACAGATCAGGGAAACTGAGGCTTGGAGGGCTGTGTCCTCCTCCCATGAGGGCCTCCCGTGCAGTCGCTGGTAGAGCTGAGGCCCAGGCCTGGAAAGCCCCTTTCCCTTTCTGCTCACATCCCCGCCATCAAGTCCCTGCGGGGCCTCCCACACGGTCACTGAGTGTCCTTCTGGCCGGGACGCCTCCGCTGGAAAGGTGAGGGCGAAGCCAGACTGAGGAGGTCAGCACGTTCTACGCGGAGCAAGCATCAGGCTTGCTCCGAGCCAGGAGCCGGGATGAGTTCTAAGTTCGGGTTCCCCCGTGGCCTTGGGTGGATGTTTGTATGGGGTATGTTTGGGTTTGGGTTTCACATTTATTCTTGAATTTTTATTTCAGGACATAACTTGGCAAGATGAGCACTCTGCCCCTTTCTCCTGGGAAACAAGGGTAAGTTGGATTAAATTTAGATTTGTTTGTCCTTTTAAAAAGGAATTGCGTGGTTCTTTTTCTTGCAGCACTTGATGGACTTCTGAGTTTACTTCTGAGTTTACTGTCATCATCATCATCATCATCATTATTGATTATTATTATTGCCAGAGTTGCATAACAGTATCAAGCTTGACTGATTTTAATTCATTTCCCTTAGCCTCCCTAGTTGCAAAGGTGCAGAAGGACCAAAAGGCAGGCGTCTGTCACCCAAGGAAAAGAAGGAAAAAGACCACAATTCTAGAACATGCCCTGCTGTCGGAGGGCTCTTCCCGTAATAGGGGGGATGAAGACAGCAGTGTACCTGGAATAGGGCTTCAACTTGAGGTCAGATTAGGGGTTTGAAGGGCCAAGGCTTGCACTTGGTTTTCCACTGAGCCCACATCGTTCGTCCCAGCGGAAGTGGGCATCCGGGGGGCCTGTGGGGACGGTGGGTCCGAGTGAGGGCAAAGCAGTGAGGGGGTCTGCAAGACACCTGAGACACCCTCACATGGGGGCCTTTGTCTTAAAATGAAATATTTGACAAGGTTCAGATGGATGAGGGCCGTGCTTGGTGAGTAACTGCTGATGGCACCAAGTGACCCGAGCTGTCCTGGGGACAGGGAAGGGCATGACATGGTCCTCACGGGAGAGCTGGGAGGTGGCTTTGAGAGAATGCGGCATTAATGCAGATGCACATGTTTATCGGGCGGGCACGGATTCCTCCTGCATCCAGTGTGCCGTCACGTGGGGTCCTGAACACCCTACAGTGAAGATGCAAACACCTTGTTGCACACGTGTCATTTTTTATCTGGGTCTGTGCAGAGGGCAGGGTGAGAGAAATGGTGTGCCTGGAAGCTGGGGTTTCCCTGGGGATCTGGATGCTGCTGAAGGTTATCAAGGAAATATAGGAGCCCCTACAACCAACAAGGACCCCCCCCATCCCCAGTCTAGCCACCCCGGAAGGGAAGCTGTGGGTGGTTAGGGAGAACGTCAGCATGCTGGCAGTCAGCAGGGGCCTCAGGCTTCTTAGATGGGCTGCCAGAGGGTAACTGAGAAGCACTAACCCTGTAGGTGATCCCTAGTGGTAAGAGGCAGATAGACCCTCTGCAGGTTGGGACCGAACAGGCTGGGATGCAGTGTACCAGAAAGTGGCACAGATTTTCCTGGCCTGGGTCCTCTGTTTGATGGTATCACAGTGATAAAGCCACGGAGGTCAAAAGAGTTAGAACGTCCTAAGCCCTAAATCCATCTTGTGCCCCGTGAGAATATCTGCTCTATTAAGAATTTACCTTGTGAAATGTTCCTGGAGCTGCTATTTGTGAGATGGGACATTCCATCTATTATTAACTTTCTGCAGATGACATTCTGGGACAAGGATGGGCAGTGGCTGGGGTGGGTGCCGAGACGGGGCTCAGCCACTTGGGGCCAGCTTTGGGCACAGGTGTCTCTAGAACAAGGACAGCTAACAGGATCAAGGATCACACCTGTGCTGGTGCTAGGTGTCTGCGGTTGCGAACCGCATCCCTTAGGGACTGGGTCAGTTGAGAAGCCTCCAGAAGTTAATAGGTGTTGCCCACTTAGCAGAGAACCAACTTACTTCACCAACTGGCGGGCTCACTCGGGGTCCTCACCTTTTAGGTTGATCTCTTGAGGTCGGACTTACGTAGTTGAGAGTTAGAACCTTGTAGAGGCAAAATAGCATTCGAGAGAGCAGAGAGGCTTGTCCCTAGTCTGTCTTTACAAGTCAAGGTCGAGTTCTAGAAGGAACCACCGCTCGCCTCCCCAGCCGTGACTCAGAGTGCCCTGCCTCCCTGGCTCTGTCACACTCTGCCCGAGGACCTCCAGACTGGTGAGAACCTCTTTGGAGAGCTGCAAACAGGAGGTGGCTTTAGGCAGGGCGGGGCGGCCCTGATGTCCAGGTGCAGGATTCGGGGCCAGACACGGATTCTTGCTGTCCCCCGTTTGACACCTTCGCCTCTGCGTCGGTTATCTGTTGATGCATAACAGACCACCCCACAGCTTCATGATTCTGGGGCTCAGCGGTGTGGGCAGGGCTCAGCAGCTGTTCTTCTGCTGGCCTTGGCTGGGATGGCTCACCTGTCACCTGACGGCGTCTGGTGGGAGCTGGCAGCTCTAGGATAACCTCCCTTCTCTGTGCAGCTGGTACTGGCTGTCGACGGGGCCCCGAGTTGCCAGCGAGCCAGCCTGGGCTGCTTCATGTGGTGGTGGGGGAGTCCCCTGGGGCGAGGGCAGAAGCCTGCAGGGCTTCCTGAGGCTTAGGCTAGGAGATCGCCCTGTGTCCCTTCTGCTTTGTTCTGCTGGTCATATCGAGGCACGGTCCAGCCTGCATTCAAGGTGTGAGGAAATGGATCGCAGCTCTTGATGGTGAGTTGCAGAGAATTTGTAGCTGTTTATTTATTATTTTAACAGTTTTTGAATTTGAGTGTAGTTGACATGTAGGCATTTTCCAGCTAGGATTTTATATCCTGGCAGCCGTGACACTGGGTCCTTTCATTCAGTTGTTGATCCATTGTCTATTTTTTTATTTTTAATTTTTAATTGTAAACTACACAGAACATTTACCATCTTAGCCATTTTTTGGTGGACAGTTCCGTGGCATTAAGTACACTCACATTGTCGTGCAACTGTCACCACCCTCTAGCCACGGAACGCTTCCGTCTTGCAAAAGTGAAACTCTGTCCCCTTTAAGCAGCCCCTCTTCCCTCCCCCAGCCCCTGGCAGCCTCCGTTCTCCAGTCTCTATGACATCATTCATTGATTTTTCCGAAATTCAGAGGACATTTATTATACATCTCATCTTTGTCAGACATCTACTTAAGGCTCAGAGATGAGTAAACACTTCTGCACTCAAAAAACAGTCCAGTGAGTGGATGGCTTCCTTTGGTGGCAAAACTCATGCAGGAGAAAAGCTTTAGCACCACATTCCTTCTGTCATTTTTCCCCGTTCCCGTAACATGTATGTGTACACGTGTTGGTAGGTACAAGCTCCTGCCTTCCTCTGTCTGTTCAGTTCAACTGTCTTTCCTCCCTCCCTCCCAGCCTCCCTTCCTAAGATTTATTTATTTTAGAGAGAGAGCACACACGCGCTTGAGCAGAGGGAAGGGCAGAGGCCAGGGGAGGGGAAGGAGCAGGTTCCCTGCTGAACTGAAGCCCACGGTGGGGCTCGATCCCACAACCCTGAGATCGTGACCTGAGCTGACGTCAAGAGTCAGACACTCAACCCGCTGAGCCAGCCGTGTGCTCCCAGTTCATCGGACGTTCAGCGTGTGCCTGCTAAGTGCCGAGCTCTTCCTCTGCTCTGACTTCTTAGCCCCCGAGAGATCAACTGAGGCCAGGGTACGCCTGACCCAAGGTCATGACTGTTGGCAGAACCGCGAAGGCCAGGGATTTGGGGGTTCTTGGCTGATTCTTGTACCTCTGTGTGGGCTCCTTCCTTTAGGCCAGCTCACGGTGGTCCCGCCTACAGACAATGAGCTGGCACTGTGCTTGGGACCTGGGGCCGCTGCCCCAGCGAGACGCAGCAGCTCTGATCAGGAGAGCCCCCGAGGGCTCTGTAACAGCCGTTCACCCACTCCTCCGAATCCTGCTTCGTTTTCCAGCCCAGCCCTCCCCACCTGGGTCACCTCCGTCGGAGGCTGACCTGCCCGGAGCCCCTGTCTCTCTGCCCTCTTCCATCACGGGAGGGAGGCTCAGAGGGACAGCTGCCCACCCCAGCTGGGGGGGAGTGGTGGTCATCTTTCTCACTCATCTATCAGCTTAGTGGGTGAGCTGGGGGTGGGGGGCGCGGTGCCTGTGGGCCCCACGGTGGATTCCTCTCTCATGCTACTGATGTTTCAGGAGGAAAAAACTCAGCACTTGGAATGCTCCAGAGAGGGAGGCAGGGAGCAGGGAGGATTCTTGACATTCCCCAGTGGGTCTGGGCTGGGGAATTTAGAGGAGATGCCTGCAGAGGCAGGTCAGGCCCTGGCTCTCACTGGGTCACTGGGCTCTAGGGACACCCTCCCCCCCGACTGTGCCTCCCCTTCCCCTGCCTGGGCGGTCTGGCTTCTTTCTGTCCCTCTTGCCCTCCTCCCAGTGCGCACTGCCTATTTGGGGATGGCAAGTTGGCTGGTGGGGATCGGTTCCTTGATTCCTTTCATATCACAAGGTCTCTGAGGGCCAATATAGACCATTCCCAGAGTAGGGAGGCCTTCCAGCCCCTCCCAGCCTCTTCCAGCCCCTTCCAGCCCCTTCCTTCGGAAGAAGAGTAAGCACTTTTGAGCCTTTGTGTTGAATTTTTGAAAAATCAACGAACGATGTCACACCTCCTGTGCACTGTGCCCTGAGTCAGGCATTGGCACACACGTCAAATTCTTCCAGCCCTGGGAGTTGGTGTCACTGGTCCTGCTGTGGGTCAGGATTCTGGTAGGGGCTCAGAGAAGACAGTAACTGGCAGGCAGCTTGAATCAACGGAGAGAGAGTGGAGCTCGGGTCTGGCCGGCTTGCAGGTGGCTCCTGCCCGTGGTGGGACAGAAGCGCATTCCGTCAGAATGTTCTGTGCATGGGGAAGGCCCTGGCTTCCAAACTATGGCTCTGCTTGGCTGTCTCTCCTCACTGCTGGCCAGAGTTGGAGAAGCACGGTCACACGGAGCCACCCCATGCCCCCATCACCGCCTAACTCCTCCTCAACCCCCACCCCCTGTGTTGTCCCTAGCTCACCTTCCCAAGACCCAGAGCTGATCCCTGTGGCGCCCTGACCTTTCCCAGGTCTCTGTGTGGAGTGATGTGTCTGTTCCCTCAGCCCAGCGGCCCCAGCCCTGTGCCTCTGGCCCCTGGGGTCTTTCCTGCTCCTATGGCCTATGCCCCTCAGCCCTGTCCCCCAGGCACTGTGCTCTCCTGCCTCAGCTCAACCCCCACCCCAACCATTTGTGAAGATCCAGCCTGGTCTCCAGACCTGCTGCAAACTCAGGCTCCTACAAA